TGGCCAGAAGACTGTAAGTCCAAGTTAGTTTGTTGAACATAGAAATGATGGTGCACGCAGTGATGTTAAGATCTCCTGAGGCCAGAATGCTCTTTGGAAGGCTCCCAGAAACTTGCAAGACAACGTGCACAGTAGTAAGAGAAACTTAATATGACCAGACTTTATTCTATAAACAAGAGAACAATCCCGACTTTAAAAAAACTACCAAAAAACTAGTAAAAAAATTCCATTACATACAACCTGACCTAAGGATGCTCACTTTGACCTCTGTAAGTTTAACAGAACACCGGAAGAAATTAACTGTCTCAGCAGAACACAGGAATCTAAAAATATAACCGTTATTTTATTTAGCAGAGCCACAAAGAAATCTGATTAACTCCTACACGTTACAATTTTTGTTACAGACACACACACCAGGTACAATCAGCCAACAAGAGTGATTTCACAGGGAAAAGCTGTTTGATGCCAAATGACACAAGACGTTTCATGACTCTCTGATGTATTAAGAGATACTGTCTCATATACAGAGGGTATGATTTTAAAAAGATGAATGTTGATAAGCTGTGTATTAGTTCTACCCAGCGAAACAGTCTGCACTAAAACAATAAATTTTTTCCCAGTAAAAATTTAATGTAACAACACTGAGCTGTGCCCAGGGAAAAAAGTGGACTAGATTACCTGTTACAGTGTTCTTGCTGTACAAACACAACATGTGAACAGACACCTAACATTATTTCATATTTTACTAGCATATTTTTAATATTTATTCACACTATTATTCGTAAGTGGCCAATTTTTCATATGTTGTTGCCTAAGTTGCACCCACAAAAACTCCATGTGCCTCTGCTCTACAACCAAAGCTTACACAGACGAGAAGTCACACACACAGACAGATAACTAGGCTGGTAGCTGGTGTGTGCTCATTCCCATACATGCTTGTAAGATGTAACAAAGACTCTACATTACAAAGTAAATATATCCTTCATGCCAATTAATTGCCATTAATGTAATATTTTTTATACTTGAGTGACACACAAAAAGAAGTTTGCTAAAGGATAAGAGCTCTCTGTACACAACTCACCTGTACAGGCATACAATTCTGCAAGACAAAAAAATTCTTAAAAGATCAGTGAGGACATCTAAAAATCATGTAACTCTCTGGAAGATAAATTCAGGAACATGGATTTTAAACAGGAGGAATTTAGAATGAGTCTGTGCCATCACCTCTCTCTTTTCTGAAATACAGTACAAGGTGGATCAATTAACAGAATGACTGAAGCATGCCACTTTGACTTTGGTTGCTCCAAAGGCAAAAGTCAGTGTCACCAGGAAAATAATTCATGTATGAAACCTGAGCACACAAGTATCAAGTGGCTTAAAAGAGGTTTTCATCACTTTGTCAAAATCACATTAATATCCTGTGACTCAGAGGTGCAGTTTTTTCTTTTTTTAAAATTGAACTAGTCAAATGCATGAAGCCCTGATGGCATCTGGTGCTGGTAAATCCAAAAAGAATGATCTACTGCCTGCAAAATAACTGCCAAATGATCAGGACCAGGACAGGCAATAAACTGTCTCACTAAATCAAGTGTTGAAAGAAGGCAGCTACACAATTGCTACAGCAATACCGAAAGAAATAAAACATGTTCAACTGCACATGGAGCAAGGATCATGGAAAAGACCTAACAGGACCATTCAGGAGGACCTAATTTGGCCATCCGTGGCAAAGACGAATTCTGCAATCACACTTCCGGATACACTTAAAAGTGTTGTAGCTAGGTGCCTTTTGAAGACTGTCTTTTAGGTTCAAAAGGTAGAAATGATCTCTCCACTCTCATATGTAAAACCCAATTCCATGTGGTAACCTTCTACACATGACAGTAACTTTATGGTTGCATCTTTACACTACTATGTCTCTTTCCTGGTCCTGAGACAGAAAGGACATTAGTGCAAGACAAGAGCCTGTAACAAGGAACGTGAAAGCCTAAAGAATCTTGAACTGTAGCAACAAAGCACTGACAGATGACCTGCAAAACCAAAGGCATGAGGACTTGAGATTAATTTTTTAATTTGATAAAATATGTATTGGCTGGTGGCCAGTCTCTTAGGTAAGTCACTTACGTAACTACAATTTAAAACAGGAATAAAAGCACATTTAAGTAAGAATTCCAATTCAAATCTTAAATTAGTAATTGGACACAAGTATGCAGCCTCTAAGTGCACACTGAAGAATCGCCTCTCGAAGAATGAGTCACCAACAGACGAACTCAGGATATTTTTACCCATCATTCTAATAAAATGTCCTTACTTGTTTTCAAATCCTCTTGCATAAGTGTCAAGTGCTAAAGTAACTATTACTGTGATATCATGGGCATCCAGTATCTTTCTTCCTACAAACAGTGGTCATTGATGACCACGTTTAGTCAGCATACTCTTTCCTACATGTCTGCAAAACCACTGGACAATTTGGGCTTTTATGGAGGACAGCTTCACTTCAGCATGATAGCCAGAGCACATTTGTAAGATGGAATTCCACATGGGAGAATGTCTGGGCTTTAGTTGTTTTTCAATATTTGGTTGCATCACGTTTATTTTGCATCTGAAAGGATTATCCTAAGGACAACAAGGCACCCTGAAGCTGCTAAAAATCCCCTGCAGACTCTGCTGTCGCCACCTCTGATGGCTTTGTTCCCTAGCAACTATCAAGTTAATTGGCACAAAGTCTTCCCTCTCACCTGGCATCTTCTGTTAGTTCGGGTTGACACCACCCAGGCTCAGCCAACTCAGAGTCCACCTCTCCAGAAGTTTCAGGAAGCAGAGGTGTTCACTCCAAGACACTCAGGCCACTCCATTTTTGGCCACGTGTTTTGCTCATAATATATAAAGCCAATTTAAAATTAAGAAAAAGTAAGTTTTGCTCAGTTTAAAGACAAAGCTGTACCCTCTCCCGAGTCTGCGCAAGGTAGGCCATCAGCAGGTGGAACATTTGCATGCATATGGCAACAACTTGCAGAAATATGAGCGTGGGTCCTGGAAGCTGCATTAGCCAACCCATACAGCACAGGGAGATCTGACCCTGGCAAGGCTGCACTGCCCTCTCAACAGTGCCTGCAGGCCCTTTGGAAAGCACCCCATGGCATCCAACCCCGCCTCAGGCCAGACTTTTAGAGAGATGCCAAGACTGTTTCACATGTGTAGCACACTGGAAGCAGTTTCCCAGCACAGCTGAGTCAGTCCCAGGGCTAGCTGCCTGCCCTCTCCCCACCTCCTGCTCCTGCCCTTGCCCTTGCCCTCACACAGGACCTTGGCCAACCCTTCTCTGATGAGCCACCTAAAGGCTGAGCCAGCCACTAGTGGGGCATGGTACAGTTAGGGGTTTGTTGGTCAGTTGGGTTTTTTTAAGGGGGGGGGAAGGGTTTAACTCCTTATCTCAGTTCACTCTGGGGTGATTAGTGCTGGTGCAAGAGAGAAGATGGGAATCCACAGAAGTGGACTGAGTGCATGTGAGGAAGACAGCCAGTGTCAGAGCGAGCTGTGAGAGCAGTTCAGGCTGCGATTTGATAATATAGCCAAGTTCAATGCAGGAAAATACTGTAAAAGAGCTAAATACTCTTAACTTGGTAGCTGGTGATATTGAACTATGCATAACATCTCCTACGGGAAACCCACCAGCAAATATTTCTATTATATCGTAGCAGTAACAGCAATCTCTCTGACTAAAAGGAAACGACTCTCCAATTTATGTAACACATACATTGGAAACCAGCACTCTCTGATGAGCATATAGCAACGGTAAGTCAGCAGTTTCCAAAAATGGACTGCATTGCTTTGAGTTGTAAGTGTGGCACAGCAGACTTGCAAGCAGCAAGCTGTTGTCACTCTGCAGTGGTGACAACTACCTAGCAGGAACACAGTTGTGGTACTTGGCTATCAGAAAGTGAATTCACAGATACAAGTATTTCACAGCAGAGTTAAACAAGTAATTGTTAAAATTTCATGCAGCCATTACTACTAATTATAATAAGCTAAGTCAGACAATCTAATTCACCCTATTCTTACTACATTTAGTGATGGAACGCCAAAGAATGAACAAAACATGTTCATATGACTGGTACAAAATGAAATCAGGACATACTCCCATGAATATGAATATACTTGCTCAGCTGTTTTCTGTTTCCCATTGATCACAACAAAGCAACAGCAGCAGTCCCATTTCCCAACTTCTGAAACAATTAGCTCACTACATCTCAAGTAAGAACCACTGTCAGATTTTGTTTGGTTGGCTTCCTTCTTTACTAGGAAGAATGCAGTTATCCTCAATTAAGCTGGCTAAGATGTTTACACCATTCTTTCTAATGACTGCATCTCAAAAAGATAGGTGTTCAATGTGATTTTTAAAACATCAAGGAATAAACAAATACATGGAAAACCTTGTTCTACAAAATGCATTCAAACTGATCTTCCAATAATACCCCTCTTTGTACATGAGATTAAATTAGCTGAGAATCCTTCCTAGCTGACCTTCAAATAATGTCCCTTTTTGTCAACGGAATTAAATTAGCAGAGATTTTTTCCTGACATTAGAACAGAAAGAAAGAAATATAAAAGCAAAAGGAAGCAAGAGAAACAACATTAGCTGGCAGTAAACTGCCAGTTTCACTCCTGAGTAACTGCAGTTACTATTTAGTAAAATGGTGCTATGTTGAATTGTCTATTTCCTGTCAAGTTCCTTTCACCTGATAATCTAAAAAAATATTTTTGAAACAGAAAGCTTAACAGCAATAACTTTCCTCACAATGTATCTCGTATGAGCCTCGTGCACAGTTCCTTGAGATAGTGATCATTTCTCAGTATGGCATGCAGAGGCTTAATGGTGTACTTGTACTTCTAATGGAAATTATTAGATTTTTTCCATCTCCCTGAGTCAGTAACACACCTTTTTCCATGTATTTTATAATAAATATTGGCAGTGTTTGGCAGGAATCGGGTAAGCGACTCACCTTCATCTAAAGGAACCTCTTCCTCCTCACAGGGAGAAGGAAGGAGGGGCTGTAGTGGTTCCATGTTGATTATGAGTTGCTTGTTCAAGGAGGGAGAGCTGCGACTTTGGGTAATGCTGGTTCTAAAAACAATGGGGAAAACAGGGTCAGTTTATTCACGAAGAAAAAACTGCAGTCCAATACCTCTCATCTCAGAATTGTTTTGCATAATCCTCGAGTAATCCTTGAGCTACCACAACAAGGTCTGCACACCGAATGCGGCTTTCAGCTGTGTTATGTTGTACCCTCGGCAGATACAAACCTTTCAACATTTGAAGTGTAAAAGAAGGTTTTGTGCTGGTTTACTTCCCTTTATGCAGCCTGACTCCTACTCATCTCATGCAGGATTTCAGTGTGTTGCTCCTCTCCAGGCTGCACAGCAAACATGAGTATTTGGCTTCAAGGGAGGGGAAAGCAGAGAGGATAGAAACCATTTTCCTGATGCTGTTCCACTGCCTCCAGGACTGAGTAAAGGATTTGTTACAGTTTGAGCACTGCAGACTAACGACTAAACAGGAACAACTGTATCCCTTCAGTCAACAGATATACAGTGCTCTCATTCTCACGCACCCCAGACACTGCCTCTACGTCATGCCTCCAGCTGCTCAGGCTAGTTTTCTTTCTTGTCTTACTTTGATCTAACAGGCTTTCCGGGTAGCAGGTGTTGAACTTGCTCAGGAAAGTCTGAGGAATGCTGTTGATTTGCTTCAGTCATGAGGCTCATTAGCCTAAAATCATATTACTGAGAAAATAAAATGGCTCTTTAGAATAAGTTATCTAGCACTTTTATGATACAGGCCTGAAGCAAGAATCCTGCAATAAATCTGAACCATTACACTATAAAATATTTACTTTTGACAAAAGCAAAGATGAAAGGGAAGAGGATTCTACTTGATTTCAAATGGTACACAGATACAGTACTGAAGCTTCATAAAATGCACTTCAATTTTGCACAAAAACTCAACTTACAATTCCACACAGACAAACAAACTGAAAAAAACACCTATTGCAAGTGAAAAGAAGGGATGATGTGTTGCTGAGGGTTTAAGTAAACTCGGGACATGGATGTCCTACCCTAATTCACACTACATGTCCTTACATATTCCGTGGGGATAAACAAGCTTGATGATTCCTTCCTCATTAACATACGTCCAAAGCTACTCCTGTCCTCATTTGCATTCTGTGAGCAGGCTCTAACAACTATTTAGTTTAAATTTTCACTATCCAAAGAAGTTTTTCACTCAGAGTACTGTAATTACAATCACTCCAACCCAACTGTACCTCCACAGGCTTGTTATGCATCCCCTGGATCTTTGTGTTTGCTGTAAAAAGCTATCAAGCAAATCCCAAAATAGGAGTTGTGCCTGGGAGCACCCATAAGGTTCCTACTCCGCACTTATTTACAAAGATCCCTCCTTCAGGCATGCCCTGTAAGCAAAATATTCAATCATTCACTGTGCATTTGTCAGAAGAACTTCACACTGCATTAATGCTGCATGACTACACACTCCAACAGATTCTCAGTCTGTAGTGCTTTAAGTGAAATATCTAAACACAAAGATACTGAACAGCAACCTCCTCACAAATGCATGTTTATCCCTCAGTGCAGCCATGGTACCACTGAACTGACTTTGAGGGAGAGGGTCTGGGGAGAGAAAAATTTGTATCTATATAAATATATATGTATTTACCTTCAAGAATATCATTTCCTCTAAATGTTTTGCATATGAAAAATTTTCATTTCCTGTCCCCAAACCTTCTTTCACCGAGTAACTTGTTTCTAAAGCTTCCCTTTTCTGGAGATAAAAATTTTCTATGCTTTTTGCCTACTTATGCTATTAGAAGGACAAGCTATCTACCTCTGTCTCCCATTTATGGATGTCATCTATCTGGATTTTTGTAAAGCCTTTGACACGGTCCCCCACAACATCCTTCTCTCGAAATTGGAGAGCCATGGATTTGATGGGTGGACCGTTCGGTGGATAAGGAATTGGTTGGATGGTCGCAGCCAAAGGGTAGTGGTCAACGGCTCAATGTCCATATGGAGACCAGTGACGAGTGGAGTCCTTCAGGGGTCCGTACTGGGACCGGTGCTGTTCAATATATTTATCAATGACATGGACAGCG